AATCCAAGAAACAATACTGACTGAGTTCTACTCACTTTAAATATGTATGTGGAGATTTGAAATATGTTAACGTCAAACTTGGTGCAGCAGCTTCGGATAAAGTTGCCAATCTAATAAACTATTATATCACTATCACTATAGCAGCAATATTTTGTATAGACAAATAATTAAAGTTAAATTAAGCTTTAATGTAAAAAAAACACAGATATTTGAGCTGTGTCTTGTTGTTTGTGGTGAGAAAACCTTATCTTTAGTATCTGGATGTAGTTCATGGTGGATTTTAAGGTATGTTCAGGATCACCATCATGTAATATCCTTCTTCTTCCCTTTTTTCCCCACTGACTCTGAGACTTCCAGTATTTGTTGATACTTATTAGAATACCACAGCACTTCCTGTGCTACTGCTTGTTGCTCTAACCCAGGTCATATTAGATCCAGCCTCCAACCAAACACTTGGCTCGGTGCTCTCTCTCTCTCTCTCTCTCTCTCTCTGTTTGAATGCAGCCTCTGTGTTGTATCTTATTTTATGTCGAATACTGAAAATAAATAATAATGTAGTTGTGAGGAGACTGCACCAATCTTTTTTCTATTTATTTTGATACATGAATATCTTGGCGCAGATCCTGGAATTGTTTTTTTTTTCACTTTCTTTAACATTGCAAGATGGTTCCTGGAGGACGTATTCACTCCATAGTGCTGTTATTGCTCGTCTCGACTGTACCTCATGTCCGGTACTTGCTGGTGTTCATGGTTGTGACTGCGTTACGTTTGCTTTGAGTTTTGTTGGTTGTGCAAAGACGCAGCCACATTTAGATGCTGGTTTACAATACTTTGATCTGTGCGACAGCCACGTGAGCCGAGCTGTGAAGTTATCAGTGATTATTCTATTGATTTCTGACGTTTTCACAGATCAAACAACCTCAACTGTTTTTTAAACTTCTTTTTTTTTTCATCAGACATCCTCAATTTGATCAGTTTGACCTTTTATTTTTACAGAAGAAGTTTATTAAACCTGCACCAGAGAGTCAGAGCAAAGCGGAAAACTCAGGAATTCATCCTGGCCTCGGTTTAGTTTAGCTTTAGTCGTGTGTGGAAAAATTGATGAACAACACTTAGGCATCCTAAAAGCTTTCTGACCAAGAGCTGGCATGCTTCATATTTCTGCTGAGGCCAGCTTCACACCCTCGTCTACAGTTACATACAGTATATTTCCATTCACCAGCGAGTCACTTTGTTGTGACGCAGACAGACGCAGGGAGGCAGCAGTCGTGGGAATGGGTTATTATTATTATTATTATCATCATGCACCATGTGATTATTAATAAAACACTAATAACAGGAAGTGTCTTCAGAGGAGCGGACGCTGCAGAGTTTGGAGAAGTGTGATGGTTAGATTTTTTTTTCATTTCATTTGAGTCAGAGTCACAGTCAGAGTGAGTCACTGCAGTTAGAGGAGGAGGATTTAAAGGCAGGAGGTGGATTCAGTGTCCTGTGTAATCTAATGAAATCCAGAACAACACCCCCACAAACCACAGCACAGTGATTACTCAGCTGACTCACAAATTAAATATTGTAGCTTCACAAACGTCTATTCCAGGGCCGTTGTTCTGGATTGTGTGTGTGTGTGTGTGTGTGTGTGTGTGTGTGTGTGTGTGTGTGTGTGTGTGTGTGTGTGTGTGTGT